CGTTAGCGATTTTTCGTCAGGATTATGTTTGTTTGAGCTTGGTGATTGTAGTGTCAGTTACAATACATCCCGCCACTGCAGCTGCTCCATCCGCTGTGTCCATGGGCCCTGCAGCACTCGTCCTTCTCGGCGTCGATACGGCTGCAGACCTGGTCGCAGGGCCCGACGCGGACGGAGGCCTCCGTCACCACCATCAAGGCGAAGGCGACGAGCAGCAGCATCAGGGCGGTCTTCATGGCGGCCATTTTGTTTATTTTGAAGTCAGGAGAATCGATTCCACAGAGATGAAGAGTCGATGTGTGAAGTCTTCGAATGAATCTCTGCTATTTATACTAACTTTTAAGTGCAGGAAAATGGTCTGATATGACATTTGTGTTTGGGTTATTACACCAATTTTGTTTTTATTATTGCTTTCCTGTTTTTTGTCGGAAGGTTATCGGGAGGTTATGTTTGTTTTCGACACTTATGACATTACAGGTGTCCAATGTTATACAGATACAAGTATTGGGTTATCGTGAGGCTATCATTATTTTTCTACTAACTAAATATTAGTTGAATGTATATATAGGTAATATTACATTTTTAGCACGTTTTAGTGTCCCGTTGTTATGTTGGAGTTCATTAGTTATTATTATCTCTTATTTACCTTTGCGATCATTATTTATTTGTTGTACCTGTTACTGGATAATGCATTCTGTTTACAGCGGAAATTAAAAAATATATAAGTACCTATAATTTAAAATGTGTTTAAATGAAAATAACAATGCATGAGTCAACTTAGCATCCTTCAAATGTCCTACGGCAAGCGATTCCGCGCGGGTGAAGCAGCGGGCGGTAAGCTAGTTAGTAAATAAGAGGCATATCACAATCTATGTATTTTCTCTATATTACCAGCTTCATGCTACCTTAATCCATCTAGGTTAGAATTCATGATATTTTATTCCATATTATAAGTACCTTTTGTTTGTTTCTGTATACCAAATGGGCAATAAAAAATATTCTCACGAGTAGTTGTATGTATAGCCACAGTATAATAATAAGTACTACGTACAGAAGTTTTACTTTGCGAAGGTATTTAAAAAAATGTATGCTCAATGTCATTAACAATATGGTGTAATTTAGCCTGTCTCAAGAGTCAAGCACCATTTTGTTGTCAAACGTCAGTGATCGGCACTGCGCCGAAGCTATAGGGCTGACTTCGGTAAAATGATGTGACGTGAGGTGCCAAACTGCGGAAAATGGCGGAGGGAATACATGATTTAGCATGAATTATCATGAATAATATTAACTACTTATTTACCTCTAAGTGTCTTGAGGCAACTTAAAAAAGTACATTCTGTTTTTATTATTATTTAGGCAGTTAAATACTGCACAGTATTTAGTACACCATTTTCTTTATTTTCTTCCATCATACACAAGAATACGCGTGCGTGAGTCAATGTTCGCTCGTATGTAAGGCCTTGTCGAATAGTATCCGGTAGGTGGGCCATCGTGCGTGTTTTGTTTTCGATGTAAACTCGCGGAGATGAACAGGCCTGGTATAGCGCCCACTGGGTGCTGAACTAACAATTGCCAAAAAGTGCACTTACCGTACATAGGTAAAGTTAGGGTTATCCCGGCACGTGCCCGGCGCGTGTCTAGCGGAGGCTCGTCATTAGCCTGACGCGTCTCGAGGGAGTAGTTATGAGTTGTGCCATGGTCTGTGCTTTAAGTCATTTGCGAAGGCGAGCACTGGGGGATCGAACTCTCGAGTAACGCTCGGAGCTTAAATAATATAATATAATATAACGCCAATTAATATTAAATATAAACTTAAAACGCATTTGCTTCTCAATTTATGTCTTCGGGATGATTAAAGGTGTTTCTGTCAGTAAAATTAGTTATTGTCTGTCCAAATTGGGGTAATTTTGTATGGACATTGCAACGTATTCTTTGTAAGTTTCGATGTAGAACTGCAACAGCATCAACACAAACCTTAGTTGTCTCCTGAATGCTGTCATAACAAATTAATTTTCTGTAATATTATTTGGTAAATAAAGAAAAAACTGAGTGAACCAGCGGGATTACTCCGAAAAATGATATCCCACCAAAAATTTTTCATCTAAAGTTATCAGATCTCAGGTAGAGCCAGGTTGCAACTCTACACGCCCTAACTGTAGTAGACCTTAGGCAAAATGGGGTATGGCCGTTTCTCTATCGTATCGTATACATGGGCTACAAGGTAATAATTTTATTGATTGTTCATACTTTTCTTCGTGTTTCTTGTACCTACTAACGAAACGGCCAAGCTATACTGGGTGTTAGGTAAATGGGTATATGAGCCAACACTAGCCCATGTTAACATGGTCATATAAATGGTATGGTGAAGTCAGAAAATTGACATCTTCATTTTAATTATTTTATTTTTCATACAAATAGGATTTTATAAAATTTATTTTGTATGAAAATTGAAAAATTAAAATGATGATACAAGGTGATTTTGTAAATCACCTTGTATTTTGACGATGATGTACCTACATCAGTGCTACACATCGCATTTGGTTGGGTGAGGCGACATCCACATTTGTGTTAATACGAGTAAATGCGAAAGTACTTTGTGTCTTACTTACCTCTTCACACTTAAATCACTGTACCGATTTAGATAATATTTACTATAGACATAGTTTGAGTCCCGGGAAAGGACATAGGTTTTTTTTATCCAGGTTTTTGAGACAGGGATGAGCGCGACAAAGCGCTAGGGACTGGATGAATGACAATGAATTGTCTGCCTTGGTACTATTACTTACTCTGTGCTGCTTCTGTCTTTCTCGAACCACAGAATAAGTAAGAACACTATAATCCGGGCTTTTTCTAGGCGAGAGTGAAGTAAGCACCGTCAAGTGCGGTCAAATACTTGCGTTATTCTGTACTAGAGAGCGGCCGCCCGCGACTTCGTACGCGTGGATCCCGTTTTACCCCCTTCATCTATCTTACGCGGTTTAGATTTTTTCATACAAATGTTTTTTTCGCGCTAACTCCCGTTCCCGTGAGAATTTTGCAATATCCTGTTGTAACTAAGCTTTAAGTTTACTAAGGTACCTGCATGCCAAATTTCAAGCGTCTACCTTAAGCGGTTCAGATTTTTCTTACAAAAGGATTTTCCCGCTAATTCCCGATCCCGTGGGAATTCCTAAGTATACTATAACCTGCCCAGGAGTATGAAGAATAATTGTACCAAGTTTCGTTAAAATCCGTCGAGTAGTTTTTGTTTCTATAAGGAACATACAGACGGACAGACAGACAGACAGACAGACAGACAGACAGACAGACAAAAATTTTACTGATTGCATTTTTGGCATCAGTATCGATCACTAATCACCCTCTGATAGTTATTTTGAAAATATATTTCATGTACAGAATTGACCTCTCTACAGATTTATTATAAGTATAGATAAAAAATATAAAAAATATTATGTAGGTCTTAGATCATTAAAAACCGTATTTACATTTTGCTTACATAAGTGACAGTAGGTAAATTAGAGTATAAAACTTATTCTTTTTTTTACCCGACTGTGTCAATTATGATTTTTACTAACAAATTGTATTTTTTGTTATACCGACACTTACCTTAACTACAACTGTTTGTTGTAAACAAACTATAATTTAACTTAAGCAAGTAAAATCTTTTATTTACATATTTTCCTCATGTTTAAAGGATGTCACGATGTAAACACACATTTTTTTGCTTTATTTTGTGTGTGTGTTGTGTATACGACATAAAATAAATATACATCGGAACTAGTTTGCAAATGTTAATGTATTCAGGGTGGAAACAATAAGGTGATTTCACTCGATTATTTCTAAACTATACAAGATAAAAACTGGATAATGATCCCGAAAGTGCTCCAAGAGCTCTTTCAAACGGTATCAATAAAAGGTTACAGAATAAACTGGATCTACCTGAAAATTCAATGTTTCCAGCTTGATGGAGCCAGCCAGTACAGCTACACGATATTAAAAACTATACAAGATAATATCGTAAAACTGGTTACTGATCCTAGAAGTGCTTCAGAGCTCCATTAAGCAGAATCATAATAGGTTACAGAATAAACTGGATATATCTAAAAATCCAATGTTCCGAGCTTCCATACATTTAATACAAGTACAATCATGCACACATCTACGTGTTATTTTTTGTTACTCATGTGCCACAGCTAAGCTCAAATAAGTGCATGTTTATGTTTTGTTAAATGGCTATTTTTTATTCTGTCTCATTGTAGGACAAAAAGGTCGCTCCAGAATCTACCTATTCCTGTAAAGTTTTAATTCTTATAAGTGGCTTTCAAAAACCTCATGTCACCTCCTTTTGATCATTCTTTAAACAGGACTAGGGTCTCGAGGGCTATGCTCGGTGTTTCTTTACGAGATCGAATCAGAAATGAGGAGATTCGTAAACGAACTAAAGTCACTGACATAGCCCGACGGATTAGCAAGCTGAATTAGTGGCAGTGGGCAGGGCACATAGTACGCAGAACTGACGGCCGATGGGGCAGCAAGGTTCTGGAATGGAGGCCGCGTACCAAAAACGTAGCGTGGGGGGACGTCCACACACAAGGTGGACCGACGACCTGATAAAGGTAGCAGGAAGGCACTGGATGCAGGCCGCTACCAACCGTGCGATGTGGAAGTCATTGGGGGAGGCCTGTGTTCAGCAGTGGATGTCCTATGGCTGAAATGATGATGATGAGGGTCTCGAAGACTTGTAAAGAAAAAGTTCCAGTCAAGTTTTGTTCTGTCCCACTGCTGGAAGGTCGACCCAGTCCCAGTTAACATGTCCCTGACTAGGCCAGAAGTATGCTATTCCTTCATGTGGCTTTCATAATTCCTACGTCACCTTCATCTAGGTCGTCGCTCAAGAGTTTTAGGTCTTAAGAATTTAAAAACAAAAATTAAAGACAAAATAGGTTTTATTTTGACTCAACATTTACAAAAAAAACTTAAAGCTAACAATTCTTAGACTCTAAACAATTCCGTAGGTTCAATCAGTGCTTTTTCCATGCCAGTTGTGTCAGCGTAAATATTTACTATAATTGGGCTTGGTGCTTGTGGTGTCAATAGCAATACATCCCGCCACTGCAGCTGCTCCATCCGCTGTGTCCATGGGCCCTGCAGCACTCATCCTTCTCGGCGTCGATGCGGCTGCAGACCTGGTCGCAGGGCCCGACGCGGACGGCGGCCTCCGTCACCACCATCAAGGCGAAGGCGACGAGCAGCAGCATCAGGGCGGTCTTCATGGCGGCCATTTTGTTTATTTTGTAGTCAGGAGAATCGAATCCACAGAGCTGAAGATTTGATGTGTGAAGTCTGCGCCCATATCTGCACTATTTATACCTAATCATAAGGAAAACAAACCCGTCTGGCTCACTAAACTTGTCTGCGGGTTATTACTCAATTTAATATTTTTGTTATACAATTTTCCTGTGTCCGACCTCTAAATTGTTTTGTTTATTTGGATATCATAACATTGGATTTGGTAAACATACGTTTGACGTAACCGGTTTTGCGACAAAGCAACTAATTATCGCTTTGTCTTTTATTTTGTATGTTTCGCCATTTAAAAAGAAATAAAGAAAGAAAAATGCAACATAGCTTTTGCAGGCGACTGAATGAAATGACAGTGAGTGAATTTCGCTCTGTCAGAGAAATATTGTACCAACATTAAGCTATTTAGTTTGTTATAATTATTATGGCGATTCTGCTTCGATACTGCTTGCCTCCCGAAATCAATATTTAAAGTAAAAGAAGCTCTCGCACTAAGTAATACCATAATTCCTACAGCATAAACTGAATTGCACACGCTCCGTACAGGCTAATTTTTTATTTGAATTAAAAAAAACTTCCTTAGTCTATTGTACTAGTAAGATACAATCATTTTACTGCGGGAAAACAACCACTAAAATTTCACGGTGTATATTTACCTAATAAGTATAAAAATGCAAGTGAAGAAACGCTACTCTCTTTCAAATTGCAACCCTAGCTGTTAGAGAAAGGGTGGCTTTTTACTTTCCACTGCAATGACCGAGTTAGTGCAATTACTGTGTATTACTGTCATTTGGTAGGTAATTATTTTTAAAGCATGTTTTATTTTTATCTTTAAGTATGTTAATTAATCGATCGAATGATCGAATCAGAAATGAGGAGATCCGCAGGAGAACCAAAGTAACCGACATAGCTCGCAGAATTGCTAAAATCAAGTGGCAGTGGGCGGGGCACATAGCTCGTAGAGACGATGGCCGTTGGGGCAGGAAAGTTTTCGAGTGGCGACCGCGGGCTGGAAGACGTAGCGTGGGCAGGCCTCCTACTAGGTGGACCGACGATCTGGTGAAGGTCGCGGGAAGAGCCTGGATGCGGGCAGCGCAGGACCGTTCATTGTGGAAAACCTTGGGGGAGGCCTTTGTCCAGCAGTGGACGTCATTTGGCTGAAAACGATGTTAATTAATACTGTTAGTAGCTACCTATACATTTTTAAGTAGTTCTTTCTTAGTAAATTATGTCAATGAACATAAATTACAGTAGAAAAAATGTTTGTATAAATAATGTAGTAGACCGGGGAAGCCCGAATGCTTTACAAAATGGTAGTTAAGGGTGTAAAACGTAGATAATTTTATTGTATTTATGTACCTACTTTATGTAACCTACAATGAGGGTGGCATGTTAATTAATTTACAAAACCCTCTATAAATAAATAAAGAGAAAAAAAATGTAAGTAGTAATAATTTACATGAATTAAAATAATGTCTCATGTTTTCGAGTATTTTCTACGGAACATTATTTGTTTTTCACCACAGTCATTCAAAAACCACTGTTAAAATTAGTTCTTTTTCTTTTTTTTTTGGACGAAACTTGTTTTGGAACCAATACTAATAATAAATTCAATTTAAAAAATAGAATATGATCCATAACGAGAGAAAGAGACAAATTGTATATCTATCTAAAATAATAACTCAAAGGTGACTGACTGACTGACTGACTATCATAGTGATCTATCAACGCACAGACCAAAAACTTTACGGATCGGGCTGAAATTTGGTATGCAGGTAGATGTTATGACGTAGGCATCCGCTAAGAAAGGATTTTACGAAACTCCACCCCTAAAGGGGTAAAACGTGATCCACGGGCGGCCGCTAGTATCATAATATACTCGTATGAGATATTTAATACCAAACCTTTATTCATTATGCGATATAAACAGTCATTAATAACTTTCCCACCGTATCGTATACCGGGCCTTTACGTCTCCGAAATATTAAGAGCACTTATGAAGTGACAACGGAAGGCTTCCTTTCTGAATAATGGCCGCCGACTTCCGGCGATATATTTCCGCTATCTCTCAGCCAACATGGCGTCCACACTTCCGGTTGACCGTTATGGAGTGTTAATCGAGCATTATGTCTGCCAGATGAAAAACTATCAATGGATAGCCGTTGGAGTGAATAATTTTCGTATAAAGTTCTTAGGTGGGTCCATACGAATAATGAGAGGGAGAAGTTTGGTTTTGGAAGGTGAAGGACCTTTATCATGTCTGTGTTTCCATAACTGTAACAACGCTAAAATCTGTTTATTAATTTTACACAAATTTATTATAAGAAAATAACTAATCAAAAAGCGATGTGACTGATTATAGTGAAATGAAAAAACTACTCATAGTAACCCTTTTAACAAAACCAATATCCATTCATAAAAAAATCCAGAAGCATTCATGGTTATATACTACCTACGCAAACATTAAAATTTAATTATAATAGTGGCAGTGGGCATGGCATATAGCTCGTAGAGCTAACGGTCGCTGGGGCAGGAAAGTTCTTGAGTGGCGACCACGAGCCGGAAGACGTAGCGTGGGCAGGCCTCCCACTAGGTGGACCGACGATCTGGTGAAGGTCGTGGGAGGCGCCTGGATGCGAGCGGCGCAGGACCGGTCTTTGTGGAAATCCTTAGGGGAGGCTTTTGTCCAGCAGTGGACGTCTTTCGGCTGAAACGAACGAACTAATATAGTACCGTATTCTTCCATCAATATCCTCATGAAATTATTGATTTTTGATATCATGAAAATACTCAGCGTTTTGTACTTAGCAGACATCATTGTTTTCGGCCCTCTTGTCTGCTGCCTTTGTTATTGTTCCGCGGCCAAACAAAGAGCCGTGGGCTCAACAAAGACGTTAATTACACAGAAGGGTTCCCACAAGAAAAATCTCGCGATTACCTACAATTTTCCGCCAGATTTTCGTTAGAGTATTCCCTTGGAAGAATGGATTCATTATTGTAGTTAATTACAGAAACAATATTTCTTTTCTATTTAATTGTACGATTACGCAAATTACAATGTTGTATCTTTTTGTCCATGGAAAATGAATTTGGGATTGAAGGTTATTATTGTATTTTATTCATACAATTTTATCAACGTAGAGCCTTGTAGGTCACCATTACAAAGATTTCGTTTTGAAATTATCAGTACCTAGTAAAGAACAATTTTATTCATCAATAACTATTTCAGTAGAATACAAAGCCTTTATTTTCATGTCCATTGGTGATTGACCAATCAACAGTGCTACAGCCTATAATCGATTGCGAAGTTCATTAGCCTAACTGACTGCACTTTCACACACTAACTTATACATAATTTCTTCAATTACAAAGGGAACTGTCGTATAAACCCGTTATTTTTTCCTGTTCACTGATAATCAGTTGTCTTGAATTCTAAAGGAGGCAGGCTTGCGGTTCACATAATTTTCTTTGAAAGGGAAACTATTTATAGGCATTCAAATGTAGATAGCTGATTACATAGACCCCTTACTCACACATTTTGAAGAGTACTTTCAGACTTACGTGTTTTATCGACAACAAAGTTTACCAAAAATTCCAAGCAAAACCCCGGACAGACAGACAGACACAGCGAAACTTGTCAGGACTACGGAACCCTAAAAAATTATTATTTCCCCAGCTTTCAGTCAGATCGAGTCAGTTATACATTTGATACGTAGAGAGTAGATTTTAAATAAATGTATACACTTCAAAATATAAAATACATTACTCGGTTCTCGGTTGTAAGACAAATAGCTAGGTATATACGATAAGTATGAGGAAAGATACAAGATAGCTCGAGCGTGTTTATTATGGCAACCAATTTTTTTATCTCTTAAACAAGTAAGACTAAGTATGTTTGACTGTAGATACGCACAGATAATAATAAGATTGTTCCAAAATCGCACATAAGGAAAAGGTGAGCAACATTGGGTATATTTAGATACCGTCGTTTTTTTATTTAGATTTATTCACTCGTGAATTGAGCATCGATTAAATATTATTTTAAGCACTATTAAGTACATTACACAACTTATAAAAAATGATACTGCAGTTGAAAACATAACCTGGGGTAGGTATGCTAGGTAGGTACAACTAACAATAATACTCTACATTTAAGTTGAGTTGAGTGTGTTGTACCTACTCGTTATGCCTGCTATACACGTTGGCTGAGCTTAGGCCAAACGCGAGCGTAGTCAAATTAATACAAGGCAAGTGGTACTGCCTCGACGTTTGGCAAGTTTGTCGAAAACCAATGCAAAATACGCGGACAAACATGTGAACACTATTGGGCGACAGCGCGCGAGCGCCTTTGATCTGTGCTGAAAAACCGACAACGTTCCGAAGTGTGGCAAGTGGTCGCGAGTGATCGCAAGTTGTAACAAGCTACGCCAAATGAGGTCTATACACGTTGGCGGTTGACTTACCTCGGATACTAGGCGAACGACACCGAGCGACGGCAAGACAATGCAACTGTCTACACCTTGGTATTGGCATTCACTCGGCGACCCTCGGCCAACGTGTATTGCAGGCTAATGTGGCATCTATGCCTCGCCCAACAAAGTGGTCTTTGCAGTCAAATCACAAATCGCTTTGAAAGTTAGTAATGATTGTTTCAAATGGAAGTAAGAAATTATTGCAGGCTAATACTTTTTACTGAAACTACACTTTTATTGGCTTCAATATATTTATTGGCTTTAATTTATTTGTGCTTGCTTCATGTTGCGATGTTGGAACTTAAAACAAAAAAAAAGTTGCTTACCGCTGTCTGTCCCTATGCATTCTTAAATCTTTAGATTTTGATGCGGTTTCTTTTAATATGTAGAGTGATTCAAGAAGAAGGTTTTTGAGTATAATGATCTACCCGTACGAAGCAGGGGTCGATCGCTAGTTTAACATTAAAACGTGATGCCTAATAACATTCTGTCTTCACTGAAACGTACTCGTATGTAAATGACCTACTTTCATCGTTATAAACTCATGCATTATCTCACCGTCCACATCTCT